GAGGAGAGGAGAGGAGAGGAGAGGAGAGGAGAGGAGAGGAGAGGTTGCACACCACTGAGCTTCAGTGTGCAACGTTTTTATTGGGGTCTCCTTTAAGCATGATTGTCCCATATACTCTGGAAGGAAGACAATTTCTCCTTCTAGGAGACTGTGACACAAAACCCTCATTGCACTGACTTGGGTTGCGTAGCTTCCTCTGAACCCTCAGAAAGGGATAGAAGATGCCGCTCAGCGTGGCTTGGATCCTGTGCCCCGGCTGGACCTAGAAGGGCTCTGCCAGCCGAGAACTGACCTCAGGGACCCACGTGGGGGAGCGCTGGCTCCCAAATTCACAGGAGGTTGTTGTGAATTTGAGGACATCAGGCTGTACGCGGGCAAAGCCAAAAGCTGCCCAAGCCACCTGCCTGTCAAATGTGGGGTCACGTTGCAGCAAAGCCCGCTCAGAACGACAAACGTCTCGTCTCCTTGGGGCAGAGGGCTAAATCCGCCACATCGAGCTAGCAGCGTCCATTCGGCCACTTTGGCGTCCGTGGTGTGAGTCCCATGTCGGGCTCGCCGTCTCAATGTCACGGCACAATTCCCATCGCCGTGGTAACAGTGCGGGTCCCATCGCTTTGGTGTAATGCCCAGGGCAGACCGTGGTCCTGTCCCCGTGGGGTGCGGTGTGGGTCCCATCACCTTGGGGTACAGCAGGCGTCTTGTCCTGTCACTTCGGGGTGCAGTGTGAGGACCTGCACCGTGGAGTGACAGCGTAAGTCGGTCTCTCGCGTTGGGCTCTTCTCTGTGGTTGCTTTTCTGCCTTCCCTCCCCAGGGGCGCGCGGCCGTGTCCAGGGACATTTCGGGTTGTCACAGCTTGGGAGAAGGGGTGCCACTGGCATCTAATGGGTGGAGCCTGGGAATTGGGCTCAGCATCCTGCAATGCACAGGATGACCCACCTCCTGCCCCCACCCCCCGGCGGGGAATTATGTGGCCCCGAATGTCAACAGCGCTGAGGCCGGGAAACCCTTGCTCAGTCAGGATAGCAGCACAAATCCGTCACTTGGGACCCCACGTAGTGACGTCGTGTGCTGTTTGCCTGGGGGGGGGGGAGTGCCCCTGTGTGCCCTGACCCCTCACCGTCTCTCTCTGTCTTTGCTCGTCCTCAGCTTGGTGTGCACACCGTGCCTGGGCCCCTGTCCCAAGGTCTGCCACATTCTGGAAGGCGAGAAGACCATCGACTCGGTGACATCCGCGCAGGAGCTCCGAGGATGCACCGTGGTCAACGGGAGTCTTATCATCAACATCCGAGGGGGCAGTGAGTGCTCTGGGTTGGGGGGAGGGCGTCCTGCCAGGTGCCGTGTCCCCGTGAGCTGTGACCTCAGCCCAGGCTCTAGCCCATCACTCAGCGGCTCTCCCATTGGTACTGACTCTCATTTTCCAAGTGGGAATTAGGGGGCATTAGCAATCTGCACTTTTTTTGTTGTTTTTTTTTGTGAGATAGGATCTCACTCTGTCACCCAGGCTGCTTGAGTGCCATGGTGTCATCACAGCTCACTGCAGCCTCCAACTCCTGGGCTTAAGCGATCCTCTTGCCTCAGCCTCTGAGTAGCTGGGACTACAGGTGCACACCACCACGCCTGGCTAAGTTTTTAATTTTTTTTGCTAGAGACAGAGAGGGTCTCACCGTGTTTCCCAGGCTGACCTCTAACTCCTGGCCTCAAGCGATCTCCCGCCTCAGCCTCCCAAACTGCTGGGATCGCAGGCATGAGCCACCACACACTTGGCCGGCATTTTTAACGATCAGGCAACATGCCCATAGCAGGTCTGCAGACCATGTTTCTGGAAATACCAACTCAGGCAAAAAAGGCGTTCCTTTGTTTATTTATTTGGTAAACATTTATTGAATACTCTCAGTGAACAAGGCAAAGTCCTCTCCATGATGGATCTTGCAAAAAACCCCAAATCAATGCATGACGTAAGGTAGAAAAAGCTCATCGGAGGAATGGGGGGAGGGGAAAGCAGCAACGTTTTTCTGTAATGGGTCATGGAAGGAATAGATTCAGCTTTGCAGGCTGGACAATCTCCGTCGTAACTAATTGGCTCTGCTGTTGTCGTATGAAAACGGCCATAGACAAGTGTCAGCCAAGGGGTGTGGCTCCATTCCAATAAAACTTTATTGACAAAACAAGTGGGATGTGGCCACTGGGCTGCAGTTGCCCAACCTCTGCAACACAGAACAAAAGGGGTTGCTGTTTTAGAGATGTTTCTGTGCGTGGGGAAGGCTGGTTTGAGATAGTGATGGAATAAGCCAAGGAAATATACGGAGGAATAATATTCTGGGCAAACGAGGCAGCCAGTGCAAAGGTCCTGAGGCAGGTGTCTGCTTGGCGTGTTTAAAGAGTGGTAAAGAGCTCAGATTGTGTTCTCAGCACGAAGGGTTTTGAGCAGAGTATGTTGAAATCGTCCACAGTCTATAGAGGTCACGTCCTCACCACGGAAAATGACGGGAAGAATAAAATATTCCTGTAGGAACTCACTGCATGTTCTCTCCTTTCCTTAGACAACCTAGCAGCTGAACTAGAAGCCAACCTCGGCCTCATTGAAGAAATTTCAGGGTATCTAAAAATCCGTCGCTCCTACGCATTGGTGTCGCTTTCCTTCTTCCGGAAGTTGCATCTGATTCGAGGAGAGACCTTGGAAATGGGGTACGTGAGCCCAGTTCTGTGTGTGGGGCCCAAGGGCTACATAGGAAGTTTGCGAATTAGAAAAACTTGGGTTTTGTTATATTTTTTTTCTTTTTAACAAACAAACAAAAAAAACATCATTAGGAGAAAGTTCCCGGCAAAACCTTGGGAGAGAGACGAACTGTGTTGGAATGTGCGCTTAATGGTCTATCCAGCCAAAAAAAAAAAAGAAACCCATAAGAGCTGTGCTGTGGTCATTCTTGAGAAACCAAGGAGGGAACAGCCCAAATTTTGTGCCCAACCTCTGAGGGTCCCGGCTGGAATTTGCTCAGTGGGGCGTCCTGCCATCGGGGCTGCGTCGTGAGGGGCGAGGGGCATGTGGCACGTGTGAAATGGAGCTTCCCTCCTTCTTTCCGTTGTCTCTCCTCATTCCCTGGATCCCTTCCTCTCCAGGTCCCACTGACTCTGTTTCAGTCGGTAAAACCGCAGAAACGCAGACTAGCTGAGCTGGGCACAGACGGAAGTCATGATACCTTGTGGGCAAAAAGTCTGAGGAAGGCCATTTGGCGACACTGTCCAAGACCCAGGTTTAGGCCGGGCGCGGTGGCTCACACCTGTAATCCCAGCACTCTGGGAGGCTGAGGCGGGTGGATTGCTCGAGGTCAGGAGTTCGAAACCAGCCTGACAAGAGTGAGACCCCGTCTCTACTGTAAATAGAAAGAAATTAATTGGCCAACTAATATATATAGAAAAAATTAGCCGGGCATGGTGGTGCATGCCTGTAGTCCCAGCTACTCGGGAGGCTGAGGCAGGAGGATTGCTTGAGGTTGCTGTGAGCTAGGCTGACGCCACGGCACTCACTCTAGCCTGGGCAACAAAGCAAGACTCTGTCTCAAAAAAAAAAAAGACCCAGGTTCTTGCCGACTTGTTGCTCTCCATGGTCGCAAGATGGCTGCCTCACCCCCGCCCTCACAGCTGCAGAACAGGCGGGAAATAGAGCAAGAGACAAAGGGTGCTTTGTAGCCGCATGATACATGGCCAGTGGCTTCTGTGTTGAACAACACAGGTCTAGATTCTTCCCTTTTCCCATTCGTTATGTGCCGGTGGCTCACTGATTCTTCTAAAGCACAGATCTAACCAAGTCACTGCGCTGACATAAAACCTTCAGTGACTTCCTTCTGCCTACCAAGGAGGGGCATTCGTTCCTGGTCTTGGTCTGGCATGCAGTACACTGGAGGGTGTGGTCCATTGCAGTTCTCTAACTACTTCCTGTCACCTGTCAACCGAAGCAGGTTACTTTGCTCTTCCATTGGGCCCGGCTCAGGTGCCTCTGTGTCTTTAGTCATGCCCTTCTGCAAAAACCCGTTTCCCAATCCATCACAGTCTTACCACTGCCCTTCAACACTAGGCTCACTTCCCCAGCCATGAAAACTTCCCCAACTTCCCATCATCTCCATTCAACAAACTATTTATTGAGTCGCTACACCGAAGCAAGTGGTTAGTCTTGGGCATGTAGCCTGGGAGCAAGGAACTGACTCCAGGCATGTCCTGTACCATCTTGGAGTTGGAGGGGACCACTGTTCGGATGCTCAGGGGTGTGTGTGTGTGTGTGTCTGGTTCCGCAGGGACTACTCCTTCTTAGCGCTTTGGCAAGCCAGAACTAAGGCAGCTCTGGGAGGCTGGAGCAAACAAAACCTCACCATTCACTCAGGGCAAACTCTTCTTCCACGTATAAATCCCAAACTCTGTTTGTCACGAAATTCACAAGATGGAAGAAGTCTCGGAGAACAAAGGGCGCCAGGAGATGGACATGACACGCCCTGGAAGACCAACGCGGACCAGCCGGGGCGTCCGTTAAGTGGTCCCGCCCCCGGGGCTCCCGGTTTGGGCACGCAGAAAACAGGTAACACCCCTCCTTCATCCCGCCCCGCTGGCCCCCAGGGGCACCTCCATGGCCCCCTAGTGAGATACGCATGACTCGTTGCGGTGATAGGCTTTCGTTATTCGAGGACAGGTGTTCGAAACATCGTCATGGGCTGTGTTTTGTGGCACCCCAAATACAGTTCCCTGATAGCAGAGGAT